TCCGGCCCTAGCGGCCTCGGCCCCGGCCCTGGCCCTGGCTCTGGCTCCTGGCCCGCTCCGGCCACGGCCCCGGCCCGGGTCCCGGCCCAGGCGCCGACCCATGGCCCCAGCTCCCGGCCCCGGCCCTGGCCCAGGCTACGGTTCCGACCCTGGCCCCGGCTCCCGGTCCCGGTTTTTGGCCACAGCCCAAGTTCTGGCCTCGGCTCCGGTCCCAGCCCTATAGAAGACCAGAGCGCGAAACCAAATCGTGCGCCAAAGACGATGTAATTTACAAGCATCATATATGGTTATTACGATTTGGTTGCAATGCAATATGGTTTTGATTTTGTTATGATTTGGTTATACGATTTGGCCTCCCATGGGGCGCATATGAACCCCCCCCTCCGAACCACCCAAACCATTCATGGGACATTTTGTCTCGCAGCGCGAGGGCGATAATCTTGCGTTCGGGAGCGGCTGGGTGCGCCATCCCTCTGAAGGGGCGTGCGGGAATGGGAATAGGGCCATATGTAGAGCCCCCTATGATGCACGATCCTGGTGAGGGGTCCGCCGCAGTGGGCGGCGCATCGAATGCGACGGGGAGACGGAGGAGGATGAGGATGAGGATGAGGATGAGGATGAGGATGAGGATGAGGATGAGGATGAGGATGATGATGATGATGATGATGATGATGATGATGATGAGGAGGAGGAGGAGGAGGAGGAGGAGGAGGAGGAGGAGGAGGAGGAGGAGGAGGAGGAGGGAGAGGAGGAAGAGGAGGAAGAGGAGGAGGAACAGGAGGAGAAGGAGGAGGCAGAGGAGGAGGAGGAGGAGGAGGAGGTTTTGAAATTACGCTTGCTGCGCAACATCGGGGCGACTAAAACTGAGGATGGGGAGGAGGAGAAGGAGGAGGAGAAGGAGGAGGAGGAGGTGATAGAGGGGGATAAAAAAGAGGAGGAAGAGGAGGAGGAGGGGAAGGAGGAGGACAAGGCAGAGGAGAAGGAGGAGGATGAGGAGGAAGAGGAGTGGCGAAGACGATCTGCCCTTGATCTGAACTTCCTCGAAGTCAAGATCGATGTTTTCCAACATGGCCCACAAACGCCCCTAAAGCTCCCAAGCCCCAAGAGGGCCCCCAAAGGCTCCCAGACGGCCCCAAAAGGCGCCCAAGATGCCCCCAGAATATCCACGAGGCACCCAAGACGCTCAAAGACGACGCTGGGCCCGCCAAGATGCACCTTTCTCTGTGTGCTGCCCACTTCCCAGATCGAGGCTACTCTTTTGGGCATCGTTTCTGCATGTGCTGGTGTTTTTGGGGGGGCGTATTCGTAGAAGGGGGGTGCTCGATTCGAGCCGTATTCCCAAACCCATCTTTGGGTGCTCGATTCGAGCCACAGTCCTGGGCCCATTTCCCGTCTCGAAGGTAGGACTTCGAAAGTCCCGTCTCCCTGGCAAGATCTGTGTCACGGGCTCGGTGTGTCGGGGGGCCAGGAACTCTTAGCCCACGCGATCCCCTCTGGCACCACATGACCATACTCGTACCACTTCGCCCGTCTTTCCTCCCATCCGCCGCTTTTGGCCCAGGACGTGCAGCCATTCGATTGGGCACCAAGGCCTGCCGTCCAGGCCCGGCGCACGTGGCCATAATTCGGAGCGGCCGTGCGGACGCCCTTCGGTTCTGGAGACGGTCACGAGCCCGAAGGGGCATCTTCCTTGGCAGTACAGCGTGCGTGGAGGCAGGAGGTGGGGAAAGACCCTCGTCTCAAATGTATCCGCCTCAGATGGGTGGAGAGATCCTCGCGGCCCACCTTGAAACCTCCTACCGAGGCCTGAATCCCCTCCCTAGGTCCAACCGTTGGAGGGCGCCCCCACCCCCTGATCGCCCACACCTCCAGGAAGAACGAGGTCGTTTGGAGGCCGCCGCGGGCAGGCAGGCTAAGGCTGCGGTGACGTCAGCCTGGCCGGAACGGCGGCGACAGTATAGAGACAGCGACCGTTTAGACTGCCAATCTTCGGTGGGAACTCACGGGGAACCTCCCATGCCATCTTGTCGGCTCCTGCGAGTCGACGCTAATCGACGCTTGTCGGCGCGAATCGACGCTAAATCGACGCTAGATCGGCGCTATCTCATCGACTCTCGGACGCTAATCCACGCTAACAGAAACTCAAGACGGAGTGGAAAGGATACATAAGGCTCCCATGATTTGCTACCGAACCATAACGCTTTGCACGCAACATAGATGAATTAGAACCAAAACGCTGGGGTACAGCCGGTTGCCGGGCGGTACATCCGCGGTTGGGGGGCAGTGAGATAACACTCTGCGCTGGCATATCCTTGCGAGCGCGGGGGGCCAAGACGCTCTGGGCGTAACTGATTGGATTGACGTGGATTTTGACCGGCGGTCGAACGACGGACATCGCTCTACGGACGAACACTCCCCAACCTATTGCCCCAGAGGTGGCGCTCGGCCCTGCTGTGGAAGCGGCTTTCCTCTGTCACCCGCAGGCCGGCGATCATTCCCGCTGGGGAGCCGCCTAACCGTCACCCCTAAGTGGCGATGATCCGCACTGCTGTGGAGCAGGTCCCTCAGTCACCCGTAAACCAACGATCAATCCTGCTGGGGAGAACCAACCGTCATCCCTAGAGCGGCGATGAACCCGCGTTGGAGCAGGGCCCCCCTGTTACCCCGTAGGGGGGGGGAAGGGTGCCTAGCAGTGGACTGGCTTCCCACAAAAACCGCCAGGGTGACGGTCGGCTATCCTGTGGAACAGGTCCCCCTGGTCACCCCACAGCGGAGACATCGGCGGCAGTGGAGGGGGTCCGCCCGTCCACACTTGTGGGGGGGGGGGCGGCTCGGCCTGCCCGAGAGCTGCCTACCCGTGTCACCCCTGGGGTGGCGATCCGGCCTGCGATGGCGCAGGTCCCCCCTTGTCAGCCATAAGGAGACGGCCCCGCCTGCTGCAGAGCAGATCTGCATGCTGCCCTGATGCGGAGCAGGTTCACCCCGTCATCGCCAGGATGGCGATCCTCCCTTAGGTGTGGCAGCCACACCAATTGTCCCAACTAGCAAGCCGTCCTGCCTTGTGCCCCCTGGCGAGCTGCCCCGAAGGTTAGGGAGCCAGCGTCTGACACTAATCTCGGGGATGCCAGCCAATCCTATGATCATGTGGAAAGACACGCAACATGACTTATCACTTGTACGGTAGGATGCGATAGGGGCTATCGTCAAGCACCCACCGCCGAACTTATTGTGTCGAACAGAGGTGGCTGTCTCGGGGTATGCTGGCCACGCGTACCATCCACCAACACCAGGTGCCAACAACAGTCTCTGCACAGGCTCTGGGACCAGAAAAGGTTGTCATTCAACCTTCACCATCACATCCACAGGGTTATGCCTACCCTTAAGGGCATTATCATTACGCTGCAATTCTCCTCCTCCTCCTCCTCCTCCTAATCCCATTATCTTCCTCCCGTCTCCTCCTTCTCCTCCTCCTCCTCCGCCTCCTCCTCCCTTTCTCCTCCTCCCTTCTCCTCCTTCTCCTCGTCATAATTTCGCGCCCTCGAGGGCGCCGTTGAAACACTCAATTATCCTGGCGAGGGACCCAACCATAAGCAATTGTTCGTAACGCGTTCTGGGTGCCGCTTTCGGTGGGGCTCCCTATGGGGCCACGAAGCGCTGCCCTGGGTGGGGGAACCGCATGCGAACTGCGCCACTGGGGCGGGCCTTCGGTGGAACTCCCTATGGGGCCACGAAGCGCTGCCCTGGGCGGGGGAACTGCATGCGAACTGCGCCACTGGGGCCTTCGGTGGAGCTCCCTATGGGGCCACGAAGCGCTGCCCTGGGTGGGGGAACCGCATGCGAACTGCGCCACTGGGGCCTTCGGTGGAGCTCCCTATGGGGCCACGAAGCGCTGCCCTAGGCGGGGGAACCGCATGCGAACTGCGCCGCTGGGGCCTTCGGTGGAGCTCCCCATGGGGCCACGAAACGATGCCCTGGGTGGGGGAACCGCACGCGAACTGCGCCACTGGGGTTTCCGGTGGAACGCCCTATGGGGCCACGAAACGCTGCTCTGGGTGGGGGAACCGCATGCGAATTGCGCCACTGGGGCCTTCGGTGGAGCTCCCTATGGGGCCACGAAGCGCTGCCCTGGGTGGGGGAACCGCATGCGAACTGCGCCGCTGGGGCCTTCGGTGGAGCTCCCTATGGGGACATGAAGCGCTGCCCTGGGTGGGGGAACCGCATGCGAGAGCAGCCACTGGGGCCTTCGGTGGAGCTCCCTATGGAGCCACGAAACGCTGCCCTGGGTGGGGGAAACGCATGCGAGAGCAGCCACTGGGGCCTTCGGTGGAGCTCCCTATGGAGCCACGAAAACCGCGCTTGGGGGGTGGAGTGGGGGAAACCGCATGCGAGAGCACTGGGGCCTTCGGTGGAGCTCCCTATGGGGCCACGAAACGCTGCCCTGGGTGGGGGAACCGCATGCGAGAGCAGCCACTGGGGCCTTCGGTGGAGCTCCCTACGGGTCCACGAAACGCTGCCCTGGGCGGGGGAACCGCATGCGAGAGCAGCCACTGGGGCCTTCGGTGGAGCTCCCTATGGGGCCACGAAGCGCTGCCCTGGGTGGGGGAACCGCATGCGAGAGCAACCACTGGGGCTCTCGGTGGAGCTCCCTATGGGGCTACGAAACGTGTGACAGGTGTGCCGAGAGCAGAGGCAAGGAGGGGGAGGAGGGAGGAGGGAGGAGGGGGAGGAGGAGGAAGGAAGGTGGGACGCGGGGCGCTGTCTCTTCAAAACGAAGACCCAACACCACAGGATGGTTGGGAATATACATGCAAACATGCATCTTCGGAAATCCGCGCGGATTTCTTGGCGCGGCGCGGGACGCCCCTCCCTGGCGCGCGGGGACCCAACGCCGATCAGAGAAATCCGCGCGGAGCGCCGACAAATCACGTCTATGCAATGCTTTCTTCCTCGACTCCAGCCCCTCCCTCCCTCTGGCCGTCGCGCCGCAGCCCGCTCGGGTCCTTGCTCATCGAACTGAACACGCCCCTCCTGGCCTCCGGTAGCGGCTCCGGGGCGGCGCGCCTTGTAGGGGGTGGGGGGGACGCCAGAGCGAGGAGGCGGGGGAGGCAGCTCGTGGAGGGGGGGCGTAGGGGTGCAGGTCAGGTTGGAGGATAAGAGCAGGAATAAGAAATCCTACGAGACCGCAGAGGGTCCGAGAAGATGGGGTCGGAGGGTCGGGCCGCATCGTCGATGCATCAATGATGCGTCGGCGACGTCGGCCATGCATCGGCGCCGTCGGCGTGAGGAATCGGGCTCCACATCGAGCCACATCGTCGACGCACCGGCGATGCGGCGCGATCCTCCGACCCCATCTGCTTGGACCCCACCTGGGAGGCCCACACGGACGGAGTCCATGAGCAGGAAGCAGGAGTTCGCAGGCTCGGGGCCAGGCTGCTGCTAGAGATGGCCCTGGCCCCAAGGCCCCCTCCCCCAGCGTTCCGCGCCAGCTGTGGAGCCCCGGGGCCCGCTGGGCCCTGCGAGTGGCGCTCTGGAGGCCATCTGGGCCTCCTCAAACAGCCTGAGGATCCTCCAAAATTGTCCCTTGGGTGCATCTGCAACCCTTGGGTAACCCCTTTCGAACCGGCCCCCCTCCCGACTTTATCCCCTTACCGACCTCCTCTCATCCTTTTTACGCGGTCAAGCTCGCTCTTCTAGTCGTCCTTCTCCTCCTCCTCCTCCTCCTCCTCCTCCTCCTCCTCCTCCTCCTTCGCCAAGGTATCTCGCTCGTGTTGCCCCAGATGAGTGGGCCAACACGGGCCAGAAGGGGAAAGGGGGAGAGGCTGGATTGGTCTCTGCAGCAAAGACCTCCAATTCTTCGTGGACGCCCCAACACGGGGACACGGCGCGTAGACTGCCTCGCCCCCCCCCCTCCCCTCCCCCCCATGTGGCCGATTCCAGAATCCCTGAACCCCAAAACAGTTGCAATCTCTTCCGAACGCATATTTTACTTCCGCCGCCTTCTGGCGGCCTTCCGCCGACGGAACCACCCTCGTTTTACTTCCGCCGCCGTCCGCGGGCCTTCCGCCGCGGAAGAGATGCCAACTCTTCCGATCCTCGAGAACAGTGTCCTTTCTGGAACGCCCCAAGTCTAGTCGAGTGGCTGATGGATCGGCAATGCCACAGCAGCGCGCGGGGGCTTCCGGAACGCACCACGCCGCCGATGCGTTAGTGCACAAGCGGTGCGCGGCGCTCTCGGGGCCGCATCCCGCATCCGCACCAGCCTCGCGCAAGTCGCCGCCAGCGCATTATTTGCGGAGCTCGCTGGTGTCCTCGGCTACACGCAAGAGTGATTCTGGGCCACGGCTCGAGCCAAACAATGTTGCCAATGTTCATTTCCCCTCGTTCTTTCTTCGTTCCGCTCCTGCTGCGAAAAGAAATCAAAACGAATACAGCCCACGAGATCGCCCAAACACCGTTTGTAGCTCGAGCCTTGCCATGCGCAAGAGTGACTTTTGTCGCGGGGCTTCAAGGGGCCGCGGGGCGCCTCGAGGCCCCGGGAATCGGCCGAGGGCATGGTCCGCCGGAGGTGGGCGGTCGCCTGCGTGGAGAGCGACCAAGCACCGACCACGCCACGAACACACATGCACAGACAAATCCTTACGAACTTCGCATGTACCTTCAGGGAGGGCGACGGTGCACAAATTCGCTGGATCGCAAGGGCGATTTTGTTGCACCGCCATCCTTCCCGGAGGCACTGCAGTCCAGGAGCAATCCACTGGACAACGTCAGTGCATATATTTTCGTGGCGGACGACCCACGCCGTGTTTGTTTGTTGATTTTATTTTTGTATATTACTTGTATATAAAAGATGCTGGGTTTCAGAATTGTCTTGGGTCTCCATTTTACAGCAACCGCAACAACAACAATCATTTTAAGACTGTTCGTTCTTACCCGCTGGAGTGTTACTCAACGCGTATTTCCCAAACCCTGGATACCTGCCCTCTTCGTCTTCGATCGTGCCAATTTTGGAGGGTATCTCAATCTTCTCTGCAGGCCGGGCCCTGGCAAACGGCGGGGCGGCCGCGGACCGTCGCCCTGGCCAGCGGCAGCGCTGATCGGCGGCAGCCCGACCACAAGAGGGACGGACAGGCAGGGGACCGACCACGACATCATCACACGGCCTGCGAGGCGACGCTGGGATCCTGGCCGCCTAGGTTGTGCAGGGTAACAAAGATAGCTTGCGGCAAAAGGCGCTGGAAACACGGGCCTGAGACGGGCGGTGGCAAGTCACAAGAAAGCCGAATCCCCCCCGAGTCGATCCATCGACTCGAGAATGAAGCGTAAAAGGACTACGTTCAGAGGAGAGGACAGCATAGTGCCGAGAGCTCAAGAGAACCCAATTGTCATTCAGGTCGGTTTTCCTTGTCTTAGAACGTTCGACGTGACCTCCGAAAGAATGTTGTCGCCACCTAAGCCAGTGACATTCCGAAGCTCCCCAAGCTTCAGAGTCCTGAGTTTGAAGTTCCCGTTCAAAACTAAACTGTTGGTAACATTGTTTGTCCACCTCCAGACGTGAAAAGCAGAATGGTGGCACTGGCTTCATTCGGTTTGTTCTGGGTTCGCTCCAGAAGCTGAAAGTATCCGTAATTTCTACAGCGCAAAGCGAGTGACACAATCCTTTTTTCGGGCCGTACATGTGCATTCTGGCGATGTGGCCCGACCAACAACGGCTCACCAACAAAACGTAATCGTCCTAACACATAGCATTGTGACCCTCACACAAACTACGGATCAGTCGATTGCATCGACTCATCGTCATTATTGCGCAGGCCTGTCATACATGTATACCTAAGCATCCTGGCCTGGGCTGCCCGGATCCTGATCCTGTGCTGTTTCGTGATGTTGGGACTCCCGAAACAAGTCAAGGCGGCTAGTCGGACCACCGAATCCAAAAACCCAGAGCGTTTGCCGAGATTGTTTTCCTGTTGCAAAGGATGGCTTTGTGCTTAGCCCAGGCAGCCCAGGCCTTGCGAATGCCACATCGTACTGCAGCAATAGCTGACTTGTCCATTGTGGTCCACGCGCCCAACTGGCGAAAACCTGTTGCTCGAGGTCTCCTCGGAACAAGGCGTTCCGCGATGCCCAACGTAGCTGCCGGATCCGCTGCCGTCCTACTCCAATTGCTGTCTCGGAGCTGCATAACGCGCGAGAACTTTGACAAACTGCGATGCCACGCGTCCCGCGTGGCCCTGCGCATCTGAGGCGAGGTAGCACACAGGTAAACATTGCCCGCGAAGACCTAGATGGGCAAGCGTTCGATATGTAGGTCAATTGTTCGTGTGCTTTTTTTGGTTGTCCCAAGGTCGCCAAATCCCCGGGCCCCAGAGGGTGCCCCCAGCCGCTTTTCATGCAAATATCGCTGAACTCTTCGATAGGGCCGCCCAGGAAAATGTTGAAACGATCGGGTGCCTCAGGATCTCCTTGCGGCGGCGATCTGGCACGGGCAAGGTGCAAGGCCAGGCGGCAAACACTCCGCGCGGGCGTGGCGTATTTCTCGTAGCCAAGCTGCTGTCAGGATGCGGGGCGCCGTCCGTTTCTCATGCTTCCTGATGACGTGGATGTGCCGAACGTGACTGCAGGCTTGGCGAGAGCCGCCCTTCCTTCCTCGAGATGTAGTGGCCCGCGGAACTCCACGGCACGCTCGACCAGACGTCTAGTCGCCGATGCGACCTCACGCACCAGCAAGCCACCGCGAAATTTCAAACTGTTGGCGAGATAGGGTCTGGCTGCAGAGGCGCATGATGAGTTCACTCAGGCGCATGGGGCGCAGCTTCAGCAGGCAAAAAAGCAACGCAATCGGCCTGAAGTCAGCCACGCGGCACGCACCGCAAAATTTCGCAAGCATGGTCACCCGATGCTTTTGAAAGATCGGGTAGTGGGATTCGCTCGGGTGGTTTAGATAGCGAAGAGTATATAATTCGGCCAGAATGTCTACAGTTTCCGCGCTGAGAAGCGTTCGCCCCTGTAGCAGGGTTTGCCCAGCTTGAAACTGGAAAGGCATTGCCTAATCAGCTGCGAATCTAGCTTCTTCGGCAAGCAATTCAAACTCTCGGGGGCCCACCGCTGCAAGACCCACTTCGGTGGCGCCGGGATCTCTGGATCCTTCGACAGATGCTCGTAGAACGTCGCAACCTCCTCCCGCATCTCCTCCTCATCCGTCGCCGAGGTCCCGTCCCTCGTCTTGGTCGCCTTCGCCGTGCCCCGCCCTCGGACCCTTTTCTGCCCTCCCACTATTGACGAGACACTCGGCGCGCAAGTCTAGATTGTGACAGCCTTGTTGGCGCAACAGATCGACCATCTGGAGGCCGAGCAAATGCTTGACTGCTGAGTCCTGCTCGACCTCTCGTGCGTGACGAAATCCTGTATCCTGCGGCGCAATGAGTGCTCCTTCGGCATCTTCGGAAGCCCCGATGAAGTCCCCCTGCCACGCGCGGCGGCCACTTCCCCCGCCAAGGAAGCGGAAGACCCCGAGGGCGGCAGGGGGTTGCCCTGTCGGTCCCGACGCGAGACCGCAAAGTCGACGGGCGTGTTGCCGGCGGGCAGAATGCACTTCATCTTGCGAGGCTCGTCTAGGAGCTCTGACCAGGCAGTCTCAAAGATCCGAGATATGCGCCCAGGCTGGTCGTGCATGAGAGTGAACTGCAGCTCGTCGTTAGGAAATTCCGCCGAAGCCCCGCACCTGCGGAATGCCACTGCGCCCAGGATAGGCGTCGCATAAGGGCGCGCGCTGCGCCGCCGAGCCGAGCTCAGAGGCCCCCGAACGTCTCTCCCGCCAACCTCCGCCATCCGATCCGCCAGGGCGAATCCGCAACTTCCCGGGTGTCCCTTAATCCAGGAATGAAATGCCGAGTGCCCTTCATCAGCCGAATGCCAAACCAGACGCGACTAACCATCGGGGGGAAATCGGCGCTGCTTATCTGTCTGAACTCGTGCTCCAAGATCCCTAAAGCTTGAAGGCAATCGAATGCCGTCTCCAGGGGCTCGCCCCTCGGGGCGGTTCCCTCGCCCATCGGCAGGGTCAGCCCCGGGGGCCGCGCGCCCATCTCGAGCGCCCCCGCCGGGTCCGCGGCGCCGTTCGCATGCTTGACTCCGCCAAAATAACCAGGTCGGCTAGGATCTGCACAGACAGAGCTACAGCTACGGAAAAGGGAATCGACTCGGCTCCCAGCGGCCCTCGAGCCATGCGGGGGCCCAGGGGGGTCATGGGAAACGGCGAAACCCCAGCCGCAAGTGGCGCGAGAACGGTTGCATGTCCTGAAGTGCCCATCACTGCGCACGCGAAAACGCGCATCACTGAGGCTGTGCTTCTCCCGACTACAATCTGAAGCTCCCAATGTTTTCGCCCGCTAATCCGGCGCGCGCAACATCTGACATCTCCCGACCGACAGGCTTGGATTTAAAAGAACAGGCGACATTCGGCGCAAAGACAGGGCGCGGTCGCCGACTGGCGAAAAAGCGAAGGACGAATGGACAGTGGTCGCTCGTCCATATCGAGCAATGACGGGGCTGGCAGTCGCAGGATCGGCGAGGCAAGTCCTCGCCGATGCCAATGAAATCGACGCGTCGGGCCTCGTGCTCGCCGTCGTGGAAGCGCGCATCTGCCCGCCAGCGGTTCGCTCCACGCGCTGCTCGAGAAGAGGTCATTGCAGACAATCATCTCCCTGAAGGCGTCGGACTTCCAGGAGACCGCGCCGGCTGCGAAAGGCGCCGCCGCCGTCGTCGGAGGTCGGTCCACATCAGAAGAAGCGCTCACATCCACACATGACGCCGGAGTGAAACTCGGAGGGCGTGATCTCAGCAATGTCTCGCAATCTTCGAAGTCCTGGCAGCGATCGGCATGGCGGTCGGGGTCGGACGCGCAAATTGCATCCCTGCAACGCGTTCTGCAAGTCGTTAGAGAGCTCCACACCTTCCGTGTACTCGAAACCACCAACACATAAAGTTTGCCTCTTGTTCCGGGGGTGCGGAAAACGAGTGGGCCGATGGACGAGCCATCGGCGCTGTCTCCCCCGCTGCGAACAGACTCCTCTCCAGCGCGGCCAGCGGTAGCGGATCCCGTGCCGCCTCCAGAGCGCCCATGCGCAAGAACTCCGACTCGTGCTAGGAGCTCGCCAAGCTCCTGGCGCATGTCTGCAGCTACCTTCTCTGTCTTCTCAACCTCAACGACGCAGCTATATGCCTTCTTTTCGAGCGGAGCGACCGAATCGGCCATGGCGGCGCGGAAATCCGAAGTGAGAGCGGGGAAAAAAAAACGAGCCTCACCTGGCTCAAGGGCTCCAGGAGCGGCTGCTGGGGCACGCGTGCCCTCGGAAACCTGCGCGCCAACGGGCTCCAACTCTGGGTCGGCCACCTCGTCGTCATCGACGAACATATCCTCGGCTCCTCCATCGGTTCTGGCCTTCTTGCTGCCTGGTACGCCAGCTGAGGGAACGTCGCCAGTCTGGACACCTGCGTTTCCACCAAGGTTGAATCCGAAAACACCACCTTCAGGAGGCCCAGCGGGTCGGTCAGCAGAGCCTGGGGCCGCGGCAACAGCGACTGAGGCCTTCTCCGAACATGACTGGCGGCGCTGCTGCGAGGGGCCGGCGGCGCAAAATGAGAGGCTGGTGAAACTCGACGTGCGTTTCGACTCCCCTATGAGGTGACACTGCAGCCGACATGGCGACCAACCACGACGACGACGACGACGACGACGACGACGAGCGAAAGCGAGAGCGACAGCGGGGCCACGAAGGGCAGGGAGGGGGCCACGAAGGGCGACAGCGGGGCCACGAAGGGCATGCGTATGGGGTCAGGAAGGGCGCGAACGAAGGGGGCCATGAAGGGCAGATAATGCGGGGCAACGGAGGGCAACGACGGGGCCACTGAGGGTAACAACGGGGCCACGTAGGACAGCGATGGGGGCCACGTAGGACAGCGATGGGGGCCGCGAAGGGCAGCGGGGGGGCCACGAAGGGCATGCATATGGGGCCACGACGGGCGCGAACGAGCGGGGGCCACGAAACGCATGCATATAGGGCGGCGAGAGGGCCACGAAAGGCTGCAACGGGGCCACCAAGGGCAACGAAGGGGCCACGAAGGGCTGCAACGGGGCCACGAAGGGCAGCGAGGGGGCCACGAAGGGCTGCAACGAGGCCACGAAAGGCAGCGGGGGGGCACGGGGCCATGCAGGTCAGCGAGGAGGCCGCGAAGGGCTGCAACGGAGCCACAAAGGTCAGCGAGGGAGCCACGAATGGCTGCAACCGGTCCACGAAGGGCAGCGAGGAGGCCACGAAGGGCTGCAACGGGGTCACGAAGGGCAGCGAGGGGGCCACGAAAAGCTGCAACTGGTCCACGAAGGGCAGCGCGAGGGCCACGAAGGGCTGCAACGGGGCCACGAAAGGCAGCGATGGGGGCCACGAAGGGTTGCAACGGAGCCACAAAGGTCAGCGAGGGGGCCACGAAGGGCTGCAACGGGGCCACGAAGGGCAGCCAGGGGGCCACGAAGGGCTGCAACGGAGTCACGAAGGGCAACGAAGGGGCCACGAAGGGCTGCAACGGGTCCACGAAGGGCAGCGACAGGGCCACGAAGGGCTGCAACGGGGCCACGAAGGGCAGCGAAATCCTGATTCCAAAATAAGCTGTGAAGGAGCCCTCAGCGTGAGCACGACTCCTGGGTGCCTCAGTGTCCGGAGCGCGGCGCTGGAGTAAATTGCGGCGAACTCCAACGCAAGAGCGCGATTCTCCAGCACATTGCAAACGGATCTCCAGCGAGAGCGCGACTCCAGAGTGCCGAGAAAGCTACTCCTGAGTAAATTGTGAGGAAGTCCCCAGCGCGAGCGCGATTCCTGAGTACAATGCGAGGAAATCTAAGGCGTAAGAATGGTCCTGGCTAAAGTGTGAGAAAATCTCGGGCGAGAGCCGTTGTTGTTGTAATCCGGGGGGCAACAACTCAGTCTGAGCCTAGCGACTTCCACTGATTTTGCATGGGGGAACACTGCAGTTGAAAAAGCACCATGGCTACCAGAGGGGGGGCCAACAATAATCATCCTTCAGTTGTGGGAATTCAACAGCGCCCGCCCTATACTTCTTGACAATGTATTGCCAGCTCGCGCTCTCGCGCGGAATTTTCTGCAACGTGTACAAGAGTCGCGCTCTCGCGTAGGCATGTCTGGAAATTGATTCAGACGTTGGGCCCTCGAGTCTCAGGAATCACGCTTTCCCATTGGCTTATCACACGATTGATCGCGCTATCGCGTGGGACTTCCTCGCGATTCACTCGGGGCGCATGCTTCAGTCACGCGCTTGCTCGACCTGGCCGCCTGGACCCTCCTTCTCGACCCGCCTGTTAGGGTCTACCCGCCCGATCGGCACATCTGGTTCTGCCGCGTGTTTTCTTCTCCTAGCCCCACTCCTGCTATTCCCTCTCGTGCTTCATCCTCCTCCCTCCCGCTCGTCCCGCCCCTCCATCCGCCCCCCCTTCCCGTGCCTCAAGGGCTGCGCGAAATACACTGTGCAGGTAAGAAAGCTATACCCCCAAGGGGGCGCGGCCGAAGACGACAAGGGAAGTCATCGAGGGTTCGGGATGTACGTGTTAAGTGGCACGCGAGCAAGTAAGAGCGAATTCGCCGGCCCAACGGGCCAGGGCGTGCTAAGCTCTCCGGTACCTGGTTAACAATATTTCTAATTCGCGCGCGCGGGGCGGCCCCTAGGGGTCCCCGGACGAAAAGTACCCCGGCAAGGTCCCGGCAAGGTCCCGGCAAGGTCGGGTCAGAGATGCCGGAGTTTTGTTTCGGAGTCCAAGAGGGCTCCAGATCGGTCCAAGAGGGCCCCGAGAAGCTTTCTAGACGGTCCAAGAGAGGCCCGAGACGGCCAAAGATCGCCCGAAGACGCCCCAGATCGCCCCAAGACAGCCCAAGAGGCCTCCAAGACGCTCCAAGGGCCTTCCAAGAAGCCTCCGAAGAGGGCCCCAAGTTGCCAAAATCGTTGATTTTCATTGGTTTTTCGATGTTTTTTTTCGTTCTGGCCTTTTCGCTTCCGGACGCTCCAAGAGGGCCCAAGAGGCCTTCAAGACTGCTCCAAGACGGCCCACGAGGCTCCCAAGACGGCCCCGGAGCGGCCCAGGAGCGCCCCCCAGACGGCCCAAGTGCCGCCCAAGGCGGACCAAGAGGCCCCAAGACGGGCCCAAGAGGGGCTCAAGAAGGGAACCGAGAACTGAAAAATCGAGCCCTCCGCCCCAGAAGGCGCCCAGGACCCCGAAAGAGGCCCCAAGAGACTCTCCAAGACACCCCCAAGACGCCCCAATAAGCTCCCGTGAGGCCCCAAGAGGACCAACAACGTCAGGCCCCAGGCCCCAAGAGGACCAACAAATACCGCCAAGAGCCCGCCGAAAGCCCCCCAAGAGACCGTCACGAGAGCTCAGGAGGCCCCCTGGAGGCCTCCCGAGTTCTCCAAGAGGCCTAAAAAGAGGCGCCAAGAGGCCCCAAACGGCCCCAACGAGGCTCCAAGAGGCCACGAACGCGCAAGCAAACGCCTGCGATGGCACAATACGGGCCGGCGGAATGAGCGAAGCGATTAAATAAAATTAATATGCTATTTGTTGTTGTTGATGTCGTTGATGCTGTCGTTGTTGATGTTGTTGGGCTCTCGCTACTGAAGATTCCGCCGACCCTGTCGGCGTGTGGAAGACGCATTCTGGTGTCGTCGTCTTGCGTGGATCACCGTCGTCGTCGTCGTCGTCGTCGTCGTCGTCGTCGTCGGCGTCGGCGTCGGCGTCGGCGTCGGCGTCGGCGTCGGCGTCGGCGTCATCGTCGTCGCCCGAAAAAATAAGAAACCGAACGCGAAACAGGAGGAAATCGTAGTCGTGGCGAAGCCCCTCCCTACCCTCCCCACCGGAGGGGTGGCGAGGGGGGGGGGGGGCGGGGAGGCGGGGCGGGGGGGGGCAGATACGCTGAGGTCCTCCGGCGGGGCCGGCGCAGATGGGGCGGCGGCGATCTCCCCAGGCCGGGTCCTCCGCCCAGGCGTCGCCGAGCCCCGTGACCGCGCGATGCGCGGCGGACCGGAGCCCCTCTTCAGCAAGGACTTCAACGGCGGCGTGCCGAAGCGACCCCTCGTCATGCTCGAAGCCTGGCGGTCTGTGAAGCTCGAGCCCAGGAGCCTTGAGCCGGATGAGGCTACGCGCATCATCTTTACGATCTCTGAATGGGGCCCCAGGTAGCCGAGACGGACGATCTGCAGGGTTCAGCTCCGAAGGGATCCAACGCGCGGTCAGCTCAGCGCCCGACGAGAGGCACACAGCGGCTATACGGCGTAACACGGCGTTCGATCCAGGGACCGATGATCTTCCCTTCCCGATGGCGAGCACGAGAGACATGCTGTCTGAAAGCAGGAGCAAACGATGGCCTCACCGATTGCGAGATCGAAGTAGGTGCCGTACCCCCATTAGAAGAGCCTCAGCCTCCAGCAACATAATGTCGGCGTCTCGTCCGAAACGCCCATGGAAGCACCCCTTCCAATCATGTGGTAATCCTAAGACAGCGCCCCCCACCTCCTCGAATGAGCTGCTCGGAATCGAGGGGGGCCCCAAAGGCCGAGCTGGGCGGGCGACGCCGTCCGCGTCGCGTTCGGGGTCAACAGGCGCCGTCGAGGTAACCTTCAGGGGCCCCGGGGGCCCCTGCATCCTGGCGTCGTGCGGGGCCAGGCGGAGGTCGCTGAGCGCGTCGAAGGAGGCCTCCTATTTTTTCCATCGGTCATGGAGGTCGTGGCGCAGACCCAGAGAAGCGGCCCGTGCCCGAATGCTGGCTACCGCTCGGCACCTCCATTTCTCACTCACTTGCAAGGTTCTCTGAATCGTCTCATGGTCGAGCTCGCGGCTGACCACCCCGAAGCCGCCATATAATGTCCGTGGCGGCTCCCGGACGCATCTGCGGCCGCCGCCGCGCTGGCGATGGGCCGCGACAGGCCCGCGAAGGCGAGGGCGACCAGCGTGGCCCCGAGCCTCAGCTCGCGGCGAACCGCCCCCCGCGGCCGCCAGGCGCCGTCGCCAGCCTTCTCCGCGAACGAGTCCGCGGCCGCGAAGACGGACAGCAGCCCTCGCCTGATAAGGCTGGCCCAGATGAAGTGGCCCAGCAGCTGCCGGACTTGGCCCCCCGTCAACGCCTTGGCACTGGCGGCGATCAGGACGGCCTGGCGGATTTTCCACGGGCGCGAGCGGGACAAGGAGACGCGCCCGCTGGCCCCGTGGAAAGTCAGGGCGTGAAGACCTGCTCGTCGCACGGCTCAACAAGCGCCTTGGTCGGCAAGCCGCGCTGCTCGAGGATCCTTCACCCTGGTGCAGTCTCGCATGCGCTCGGCGATGGCGACTCCATCGACATGGATGGCCGCGGCCGCGCCACTCTGCAGGCGCGGCGCCGCCCGCCGTTGCTCAACCAGCGAGTCGGGCGATGGGGCCGCTCAGGGGCGCGCAAGACGTCGCGATCTCCCGACAGAAGTGCAGCGACCAGCTCCAGCCCATGGGCAATGCCTCAAGGCGGGGCGAAGCCATCACTCCAGCGGGAAGGTCGATGTCAGGACGAGCCCGCCTGAGGGCGGGGGGATCCACCGCCGGGGGGATGAAAAAGTAGGAGAGGCCGTCGGGGACGGCCACGCGGTAGAAGCAAGCCTCGATATCAACCTGGGCAAGGTTCAACTCCTCGCCCGGGGGGATGCACATGCCGCGCCAGGCCCCCGACGTGGGCAGCGAGGTGCGAGCAGGCTCCTCGAAAAACTGGTTCACCCGCCGCGTGTCGAGGATGAGCCAGAGCGCCTCGTTCCCCTTGGTCGCGAAGAATATCCCCAGCGTGGCCTCGCTCTCCGGACCAAGGCCCACCACGCCTGCGTCAATCAAGTCCCCCAAGAACTTTGCGTGAGACGTCTTGCTGCTCACCAGATTATGGTCGCAATGTGGCTTTGCTGGCTCGCCCGCGGGTCGGGGCCGCAACGGCCGCTCGCGCCAGCCCTCCCAGCGCTCGAGCGCCTCCCCCCGTAGCAGGCTGGAGCCGTGGCACTTTGGCCCGGGGGTCGGCAGCGCAACCTTGTCGCGCTTGAAGGCGGCGGGCCTCTGGGGCTCGGAGAGGTACCCGGGGGCAGATGCGCGCAGCTCTCGGAAGGCTGCCGCGCCTGAAATGTCCGGGGGGCCGATCCTTTGAACTGCATCCCGAACTTGCGGATATCCAAAAACCTGCCCACTGCTGAGTGAACCGAAGTCTGGCCCATCCCCACGACCATAGAGGCAGTTCAGGGCGAGGATGACCTCGTCCGCCCAGGCGTCGACGGACGACCGGCGCCGCGCTCGAGAGCGCACCGCCCGGCAGCAAGAGGAGATCCCCTCGCTGCCCGCAAGCCCCAGGACCAGAGCAGGAAGCAGGTCCCGGGGCACAGGTATCTTGATGTCACTTCCCTCCGCGGCCGCCACCGCGGCCGCCGCCTGCGCCGGCCTCGCCGCCCCCGGCGTCCTGGCGGGCCTGGAGCCGGCGAAGCTCCGCGGCCTGGGGCTCGATCTTCTTCTGCAGGCTCTCCTTGGTGTCGCCGCTCATGCCGCCGCCGCCGCGCGACAGCTGGCGCTCCTCCCGCGGCTTCCTCTTCTCTTTCATGATGGCACTCTCACGGTGGAGCTCGCTCGAGACGTGCTCCACGAGCGTCGGCGCCACCGTGATCAGCCCGCGCGTCTCCCCGGCCCCCATGTACAAGTGCTCGTGCTCCACCGTCTCGTCGGCCCGCCGGGGGGCCAAGCGGTCGCGGCATCTCCACTCCGCCATCTGCGCCCGGCGGGCCAGCACCTCGAAAGCCGCCATCTCACTGATGTTGGCCTGATCGAAGCACAGCCCGAACTCGATCGAAGGCCCGCGTCACCACTTCGCGATCAACCACGCCCGGGTCCGCGGCTGACAGCCCCGTCTCGTGAAGCCACTTGGTGTGCCGGGCCCGGGAGTGGCTGTCCTGGTCGGCTATGAAGCGCAGGCACCAGGATGTGGTCCTAGGCCCCAACAAAGGCCAGTTGTCCCACTTCGTCTCGCTGATGGTCTCCACGGCGCCCTTGAACACTCTCTTCCTCTCACCGTTGGCCGAGTACACGATCTGCATCACCCTGGCGTTCAACTCCAGATGCATCTCCCCATTCTTCGGGTCGAGCGCGCGCGGGAGCAGGATCTCGGAGTCCGCCACGGCCAGCGCGCACTCGCCAGCCACGCAGTAGACGTCGACATCCGTCCCAGGCCATGGGTGACCCACTGGAGTGTCCGCCGATGCCGCCGCCACGTGACACTTCAAGGGCCTCAGGTCAGGCAGAGGCCCGCTGCCCTCCTCAAGGGCTGGAGCTCCCGCTGTCGCTGCTCTCGCTGAGGCTAGACTCTGTTTTCCCCCGAAGGCGAGTCTTGATCTGGTTCTTGTCGCTCACGAACTCGATCGCCTCCGCGACCTCCAACGGCGTGGGCACCCAATCTGAACCGTAGACCGGTTTCCCCACTCGCCGTCTCGCGCCCAACGTCTCCACTACGTTCCCGCCGTTGTCGAGCACTCCGAGGCCCGTGATCATCGGCGGGGCGAGGGCGATGGGGTACACGTCGAGGTCCGGACTCATGCAATACCAGACACGCTTCCCCCTGATGGCGTCGCCGTCGGCCTCCACTTCCATCACTTCTTTCAGCTCTCGGGCCGTGCTCTCGCCGACGAGGATCCTTGCCTGCCACCCGCCGCGGTTCTCCCACTGCAGGTTGATGCGCCGTCCAGTGCGGAGTGGCGCAGCCGACATAGGCGCAGCCCGCGAGAAACCCTGTCACAAAGCCGCCGATCCAGATGGCCACTGCCAGGAGAGGACCAAGCTTCACTACCCAGTCGCCGATCGCACAATCCTTGGCCTGGTCGGCGATCGTCGAGAGCCAGGGCAAGGTGCTCCACGCCAGGTTCGACACAGCAGCCAGCCCACCGATCGCGCCCGACTGCCCGAGGGGTGACATGTGCCGGCCGTCCAAAAAGAGCTTCAGCGAAATGGTCACGGACCATTCGTGAGGCCGTCCCTAGACGACTTCGACGGCACACGGAGGATGACAAGCTGGTTTGAAAACGGAAGCATACATACATACATACATACATACATACATACATACATACACACATACACACATACATTACAAACATACGTACATACATACATGCATCCATACATACATACATATACGCATATGTTTATATATATGTAAATGTATATGTATGTGTGAATGTACCTATTCCTATCCTGCACCTCTCTCCTCTTCGCTGCGGCCTCCCTGGATGTCGGTGGGGTGTATGCTGACTGCGTGAAACCCCTGCGCCCGCTTTCTTGAGGGCGTTCGCCGAAAGGAACCATCAAGTGGCCCAGGTGGGCCACACTCTCGTCTGCGAGTTCTGCGCTCCCCTCTCGGCGAAGCTCCGGGCGAGTTGGAAGTCCAAGCTGCGCGAGGCGTGTCAAGGTTTCACCAGGGAGCCGAGGCGCTGCAAGGCTCATCGGGCCGCGCTGGCCACGGCGCTGACAGGGGTGCGCCCCACAACGGGCGGCTCTCTGCTCGTTCCCCTGCGCCCATCTTCTCAGTGCTCGGCTCCTCCCCATTCTTTTACCTCCTCCGGAACGGCAGGGTGAGTCCCCGCCGCAGGCTATGCCGTGGCGTTCGGGACACCTTGTGCCCCGTGCATTGTAGCTGCCCCGCAGGCAACCCGTGCGGGCCAGGCCTGCTGGCCTTCGCTCGGCCGTCCCCGATGCGTTTCGAAGGTTCTCGGCCAGCGTCGTTCTCGTTTCATCGCGTGTCTTCGGGCCTTCGTTGGCACTTCGGGATGCGTTTTGCCTCCTCCGCCTCTCTCTCTCTCTCTCTCTCTGTCTCTCTCTCTCTCTCTCTGTCGTTCTCTCTTTCCTCTCTCTCTCTCTCTATCCCACTATCCCGCTTTCCTTCCAATTCCCTCTCCTCCCCCTCGTCCCTCTGCCTATCCCCTCCCCTTCCCGTGCAGGGCCTTCTGCTGCGGCCCTCGCTGCTGACGAGGGTGGCCTTGCTGGGGCTGGCCTGGGCTGCTGACCCGGGGCTACGGCGCGCCCCCCGCCCCCTGCTCCCCGCAGGAGGACGGACGGGCTGAGGAGGGAGGGGGAATGACAGGGCAGGGGGGAGGTGCGTGGGATTCGTGAAATTTGAACAGTGGCTGGCCGCCCTGGCACTCCTATCGGCCGGCTACGACATTTTCTTAGAACCCACAAATGTCCCAATAGCAAGATGCACTTCTTGTAGCATAAACCCGATGTGTTTAAGCAGGGCAGTCGCAACCATACATGTTCTCATAACATTTCATGCAGACCCAAACCTGTTGTTATAACATTATGCGGTGGGCCTACAGGCAAGCCAGGGCACCTTGCCACTGCTCGAAAAATCATTGAGATCCTGATCCTCCTCCTCTTCCTCCAGTCCCCTGCAATGGGCAAGCGGTGCGTCGAGGCCAACTCGGCAGGGTGAAAGTCGGTGAATGGCTCGAACGCACGATGCAGTGGCTGATGCTGCCGTCGCTCCCGCCGCTGCTGCCGCTACCGCTGCCGCGGCGGCGGCAGGCTGGGAACCGAGAAGCTCGCGGCCGAAACCGAGCGGATACAGGCAGCCAGCGAGTGAGGGAGAGTGAGTGAAAGAGAAAGAGAGAGAGAGAGAGAGAGAGAGAACGTGATAACGAGAGAGAGAGAGAGAGATAGAAAAAAAGAGAGAAACAAAAAGCGAGCGATCTATATACTTAGCACCCCGCATATGCGGATCAGACTGAGGGGGCGGCAGGGACATCGGCAGTCTACAAAACTATAGATAAGCTCGCCGTATGAACCAAAGTTTTACAATTTATACAACAAGCCCGTCGCAAGCGCCGATTTTTCCGTTAAACCAATGTGGGTAGGTCGCGGGTGGGTCGCAAATGGGTCGCGGCTGGGTCACGGGTGGATCGCGGGTGCGTCGCTGTTGGGTCGCGGGTGGGTCGCGGGTGGGTTGCGGGCTAGGTCGTGGGTGGGTGTCGGGTTGGGTCGCGGGTGGGTCGCGGGTGGGTCGCGGATGAGTCGCAGGATGGTTCGCGGGGTGGGTCGCGGGGTGGGTCGCGGGTGGGTCCCGGGTTGGGTCTCGGGTGGGTCGCGGGGTGGGTCGCGGGTGGGTCGCGGGGTGGGTCGCGGGGTGGGTTCGCGGATGGGTCGCGGGGTGGGTCGCGGGGTGGGTCGCGGGGTGGGTCGCGGGGTGGGTCGCAGGGTGGGGTCGCGGATGGGTCGCGGGGTGGGTCGCGGATGGGACGCCGACAACAAACAACAACAGCGCAACAACGCAACAACGCAACAACCATAATCCTCACCGCGGATCCCCACTTCAGTCACGCACTCAGGGACAATGAATGACCGTTCGGCCCTCACTCTGGTATATCCGCCGATCCGGCGTGTGAGTTTCAAGGAGTCTCAGCTACAGCCTCGAGGCTGAGCTTCAGCCTCTGGGGGGGTCGCCGGGGTGGCTCTGCCGGGGAAGGGGGGGTGGGGGGGGGGGGGGGGGGTGCGAGTTTCCGGCGAACCCCGGGGCCGCTCCGGGGGAGTGGAAGATAGGGGGGGGGGGGGCGCCATGCTCCGCTTTTTCCGGCGCTTTGGAGGAGGGGGGGGGCCCAAGAGACCCCCAAGGGGTTCCAAGAGGGCCCCGAGTCGCCGAAAAATCGCTCCAAGACGCCCGAGATGGCCTCCAGACGGCCCAAGGTGTCTCCAAGACGCCCCAAGAAGCTTCCAAGAGGCCTCCCAAGAGGGCCCCAAGAGGCCAGAATCGTTGATTTTCATTGGTTTTCTCAGGGTTTTTAGCGTTCTTGCCTTTTCGGGCGTCCGACGCTCGAAGACGGCCCAAGAGGCCCCCAAGTCCGTCCCAAGACGGCCCACGATGCTTCCAACACGGCCCAAGAGAGCCCCAAGACGGCCCAAGAGGGCCCCAAGACGGCCCAAGAGGGCCTCTGGACAGCCCAAGAAGGCCCCAAGAGAGCCCCAAGAGGGGCCCAAGAGGGGGACCACGAACCGAAAGAACCGAGCTTTCCGCCCCAAGAGGCCCCCAGGAGGCCCCAAGAGACCCCCAAGGGGCCCCAAGAAGCCCACAAGAGGCCCAAAAGAGGTTCCAAGAGGCCCCAAAACAGCTCCCCAGAGGCCTCCAGACTGCCTCCGGCAGGCCCCCGGTTTCTTCCGCGGCACCGCCCAGGGCGCCACCGGCAGGATGTCCTCCGTCTCATCGTTTTCCTTCAAGTTATCGCCTCTTCCTCATTCTCCTCCTCCTCCTCTGCGACCTCACTCCTATCCCTCAACGATCGCGTCACCGAGTGCCTCTTCTTTGAAACATCCTCGCTCTTCAAACGCACATCCATACACACATGCATACATACCTACATTTAAACACATTTGCATACATAGAAAAACAATCTTCCAGACATACATACTTACATTCACACACATACACACATATTATCATACACACATACAAACATACATACAAACTAAATACATACATACGCGCACAAGCATACATACATACATACGTACCTACACACAGGCACACATGATCAATGCATGCATACATGCATGCACGCGTACATACACACACATATATCGTGAAACTCACCGCGTGCTCGAAACTTGAGAGAGACCGCGGGAAGTCGAGAGAAGCCGCGGAACGAGGCCTCTACTACTACTACCACTACTACCACAACCACTACTACTACTACTACTACCACTACTACTACTACTACTACTACTACTACTGCTACTACTACTACTACTACTACTACTAATACTACTACTAGTACTACAGGAGCGTTTCCCAACTAGTATGTGTGTGTGGGTGATGCTGTGTGCGCATGTCTGCGGCGCAGGTTAAGTGGTGTGACTGTGTGTGTGCGTTTGAGTGTGCGCCCATAATTTCTGCGTCTGGAGAATAACCCCGAGCGACCCGGATCGGCGGCACTGGCCGAAGGCCACTACAATATATATATATATATACATACATGCATAGAGAAAAAGGGTAGAGAAAGGAGTGGGATGAGGTCGAGCGTGCCCAAAGGGGTTCCTGTGTCCGCAGTTTCTCAGAGAATCGGCCACCTGCGCAGCAGGTAATGAATGACATCGAAGCACTACATGTAAACAGCGTAGTACACTATGGGGTTGAAGGAATAGAGGACGAGCCAGAACACAAGGAAGCTGGGACCTGGTGCAGCAGCAGCGGAGCCCGAAGCAGACTCCACATGTCCTGAGTAGGTGTCGCCACCGACCGCAGATACTCTCAGTCGACATCGGGTTCAAGAATTGAAGCAAAGGAGTCGGGATCAGAAAGGCCATACAGATCAGCAAGAATATGGCCGTGAATCTCCTCCATCTGCACCAGGGTCGCTATGTCATCAAACTTGGAGTAGTCGATGGGCTTAGCGATCGGAGCTATCTTTTCGGCTGAGTGGATACCGCCAACTCGTCTGTGTCGCGGGTACGGCCATCAACACAACGACAAACACAATCCTTTCGATAACACCGTCGCTCGTATTTGCACAATCCCACAGCCGATAAGGATGCAGAGGATGGAGCAGCCGGCCCCGGCGAACGTCCACGCGAAACATTCTCACACTGTGCCGCTCGTTCGACGCAAGACGCTCCTCAGCACGAAACGAGTCGTCACCAACGGCAGCCTCCAAAGTCGAAGCTTTGTCATCAATCTCACGCACACGATCAGCAACACTCGATACGATATGATGGGTTGAAAGTTGTCCACCACGGCCTCGCCGATAGAGGAGACCATGTTCGGCACCACCTGGTTGAGCTGCACCTCGGCAGAAATCTTGATGAGGCCAGGGAGCATGTCTTTCCATAGGCTCATCTGCTGATTCGTTATACCATCCACAAACTCTCGAGCACGACGGCTGACCTCCAACACCATTTCATCAGTGTAACGTTTCGCAGTGTCCAGCGCTTCACAGCCGCGGGGGACACCGATGCGGCTACTCACCTCGGGGCTCGCATCCTCGGCCGCATCACCATAACGAGAAGGACCAGAAGTAGGAGAAGCACTAGAAACCACTGGGATAGAAGAAAAAGAAGAAGACCGCGCAGCGCCCGCCTGCTCCTCCAGAGCGCCCCGGAGCTTTGCAATAGACGAGTTCTGCGCCTCAACAAGTTCGTGATACAAATCTATTTGATAATCAGAATGAACCTGAGCAACCGCCATCCCCGCAGGAACTGATAACACCGCGTCAGACACTGGAGGGGTAATGTGATGTCGTGCACACTCCGAAAAATCCAGCTGGCGCGAGATGAACACAAGGGGCATCGCGCCTAAGGCTGGAAGACACACCACTAGGATGATCGTGAACTCCGTCAGGCGCCTGGCGTGCACGTCGTTGCCATCGCGGTGCGCATGCTCGACCACGATGGCCCGCAACAAAAGCGCGCAACCCGGCCCCCAGTAGCTCAAAAAAGTCTGCCCCCCAGGGATCAGAAACATGTCGAGGGAATTGATGAATGATGCCGATATGTTGAAGCCGGCGGAGAACAGGAGTCGAAAGACCGCGCCGACACCCATGCACTGCACTGTGCAATCCCGAATAATGTTTGCCAGAGAAAGCCGTGATAGGCCTCAACGCCCTGGTGGCAACACAGGATATTTTACCGCAAGCCAAACCTATATCATCATCTGAAAACATCACAACAACCAGATGTACAAGAAAAGCAAATAATGTCGAGGTCGACATGCAGATCAGAACATGCCGAAGCTCGCTTGGGCCCGGGTCAAAAGATGCCGTCTTGCGCCACAATGGCTACGGAAAAGGAGGGCGAGGAGGAGGAAGAGGAGGAAAAGGAGGAGGGAGGGAGAGAGGGAGGGGGGGAGAGAGGGAGGGAAGGAGGAGGAGGAGGATAATTGTTACAGTGCACCGCTAACACCCAGGCTCCAAATGCAGAGAACCTGCCAGGGACTGGCCGCTAGGGAAGAAAATTTAAGCATCAGCCCAAGATGCGACAGTCTTGGCTGGAGGAAGGCCTTTACGAATCCTCTGCGAGACTTCCATTTGCGCCTTGGTTACAGCATGCGGTCCGAACGTGACGGCAGGGCACGGACCCCTCAAGAAAGCACTGGGAGATCTGTTGGCCCAAGACCCGCACCCGCCACAAAAATAAAAGGAAGCCTTACGCCACAGCACGTGCGTGGGGTGCACAGGCTTGCCGGAAATCCAAGGAAAAATCGAATTGGCATGGGGTCCAAGCGAAGGGACCGCCACAGGGAATCGTCTCGAGGCGGAAGCTGCCTGCATGGACGGGCCCATTTCTTCGAAGACCTTCCCCCCTCCCCGCCCTCACGCACACGCTCACGCACACACAGCCCCGCTCCTCCCTCCACGGCGGCGAGGCAGGTGGAAGCAAGGCGAGCGCGCAGAGGGGGCGGTGTCCTTGACCTGGCCCTGGCAAAGCAAACAAGACCACACACCTTCAGAGAGCGACCGATGGTGAGAGCTGGACCGAACATCTGACTCGATCCACCTGCGGCGCCTTAGCACCAAATCAATGGGCTGCTTGTTCAAACGTCGGTCTGGCTCCACCTCAACAGCGGCACACTCAAGGATGATACACGCATTGCGCTTAAGAATTGCACAAGCCTGCTGAACTAAATCGTTATGATCGCGGACAACATCCACTGGAACCTGGCACTCTTCCGCTCGTGCGTCAGCCAACGAATCTGCGAGGGCATTCAAGACGACATGGTCCCAATCAGCTGAATCACCGAAGCGCGCAAACTTCACGGGGTTTTCAAGCAAGTGAGACGGAACATGAGAGAGGCGGAACGAGGCAGTTCGAGAGTCGAGCAGCTCCCAGAACTCCCACCACAGGTCATAATTAGCCAGCTTAGAAGAATGGGCCTTGCCTGAAAAGAAAGCCTGGACTATGTTATAATGATCACTGACCACGTGCAGATCTTGGGAAGTGTCGACCAGCCTCAGACACTCAACGATGGCCGCAAACTCTGCACGTGGAACAGTCTGCCTCTTAGGGTCCAGAACTCCCGTAACAGCACAATCCCAGTCAAAATCAGACCCTGAGACCATCCTGACGAAAGAGAAAGCCACGCGCCTGAGCACAGGCAGCTTAGAGAAAGGGCCTCCCGACCCATCGGTGCCGTACAATCCCCCGGGGAGAGATCCAGGCACGAGGGGCCTAGGCACGCGGACGCCACGGAGCAACCTCGAATCGGGGAAGGGCGGCAACCGAAACCAGGAGAGGGGCATGAGCCCCCGGACCCAAAAGCATGGGAAATCTGACACTTCCTGAAGCGCCGCATGGCGCAAGTGCTGAGAATCGGCAATATCTGGAACTGTACAGCTATCGCTGCACATGCAAGACCAGAAGCGATGAGATGAAGATTCAGGGTCACGCCTGCAGCGGCGGCAGAGGGGTCAGGGGCCATCTGCTCAGCATGCCTCTTTTCCTCCGGCCAGTAGCCGCCAGCAGCGATCAACCTGACCATGTAACTCACATCTCGACGGCCTTCCTTCTCAAGAGAGGCCAGGAGCTCCCAAACGTGGAAAAGCGAAACCGGGCCCTGGATTCCTTTGCCGTCGAGATGTTCTGCTGCGTGGTTCCGCCCTCTGGCAACCGACTAACATCAACTACAACTTCTGCCTACCACTGAACGTGTAAATCACCACTGCTCCCTGCCGTCGTGCCAAATCGAACCGCTCCCTGGAGAATCCGCTGCAGGACCCTTGGTGCTGAACTGCGATCGCGGACCGTGGGGTATTGGCGACGGGTCTGACGATTTTGATACGGCCCGTGCGCGCTAACATCTCTTTGCCCTTCTGGATCAGCGACTTGGCGTCCTCCTGTCCATCCTGGCGACAATGTTTGGTGTAACCCCGTCACAACAGAGGCGCAATCCGCATCAGCATGCAACTCTAGATCGTCACGTGAACATAACACGCATCAGCATGCAGGTGCGCATGCGTACTGATGTTACCAAATGGCTGCGCTCACAAACTTCTTGCATGTTGCATCGTGACCTGGCATCGAAGACATTGCATGTCTGAGGCGAGTAGCAATGGCATGACGCTTCCAAATTCACATTTCTGGCGCTGGTGTACGACAAACATCGCAGATCACCCTGTCACTGAATCGAACTTCCACTGTATTCCGAGCACAAGCGCTCCAGCATGAATGTACTCAGCAAGCGTGCGCACAGCAGCACTCACATCGCATTCTAGTATGCTCACTACTGCTTGGTGGCAAGGATGCCTGTGACCGACTGATGTCGCCACACTTTGGCCATCTGTCCTCATTCCACCCTACCTTCGCATCGATGCGACTACCTAACGGGATATGGCATTGCGCATGTGGCTGTTGCACCAGACACTACATTCGCTGGAAATGACTGCAGGGCAACGTTCCCGCTCGCAGTCGCAATGCAAATGCGCGCGGCAATAAGCGTCCGACCGTCGGCGGCGCTCGTGGAGGCCGAAGCCGAGGACGCTAGGTTTGGTACGAGAACGGTGCCTATGTATGTTTGGCCACCCTTCAGGCCCCATCCCAACGCTGCACAGTGCATATCTAGCTGTTCGGCTCTGAGGGCTGAAAACTGGGCACACATCGTGCTACCAGGAGGAACGCTTAATCAGGAACGAAAGAACTTTCCTGGTCACGGAGGGCCTAGGCCGCCCCCCTCCTGAGTCCAAAGCGGTCCTGATGTCAGCGTCTTGACTGTAGCGTTATCCCTGGGTCGGAGATCGACGACGATTCGGGAGACGCCAGCGCGGCACTGCGCCGCACAAGTCGTCCGCGGATTTTTCGGGTCCCTGCAGGGGCCCCAGATATGGCCGAACCCATTGCGCTCCCCCAGAAAACACCAGCCGCTGCATTCCGATAGATGATGGAGGTGTCAGACGAAGCCAGGACAAGGATAACATCGGAAGGGGATAAACTCGGAATCTCTGAGACATGGCGGCTCTGGAGGATATCTCGGGCGCCGCGGCCTTCCCAGAGCGTTCCCGAACGCTCTGAGAGCGTTCTGGAACGCTCTGGAACCGATTTGTCCTCGTTCCAACCCTGCCCGAAGATAAGCCGACATCTCCGCCAGCGCTCAACTTCATCCGGGCTGCAACAAAAACTAGTGTGCCACTCTTCACGGCCACGAGTCGACACGGAGCCCGAACACCGGCCTGCGACAACCTAAGCGATCGGATCAGCACGCGAGAGATCAGCATCCTTGTCATTAATCTCGTCGAATACCTTCTTTGCCTCCGTGGCGGCGTCCACTGCGTGCTCGGCGTTATGGCTCATGATGTAGATGTCCGCCAGCTCAGTTTTACATACACCGCAACAGACAAGAAGGGACATATCCGAAGCATCAATGCCTGTGCACCCATATCGTGGCGCGCTTTCCAGGCTGTCGCACTGCTTCGCGCAGCCTCTGGCAAAGCGGGCGCCGACACCATCAAACGTGGTCGGGCCTACAGCAGACCATCCTTCGTGGACGGCCAACTTCCCTGAGACAGAGCGCTGGGACTTCAAATTCCGCGTGATTGCTTTGCCGGGGGAGTCCTGTAGTGGAGCCCGCTCGAACCTACATCATATTTCAAACCACAAGTGGATTCGGTTTCTCGCAGCGCGGGGCTCTACACCCGAAGCTCACCCTACCTGATGGTACATATGATCTCTCCCTCTCTCTTTCTCTCTCTGTCCTCCGCTGTCTACATATGCCTCTCCTGGTCCCAGTCACAATAACACTGTCGCATATTCTTGTGTGTGTTTTTCTCTCTCTCTCTCTCTCTCTCTTTCTTCTCCTTCCTATATATATAGATATATATATATATATATATGTATCCGCCACCGCGCTTCGAGGCACGACATGGAATGTTTCCCGAACTTTGAAACATATCTGTACCCTAATGTTGAGCATTGTGAGATTCAGCCTGGGCAGGGAGCACTTCAAAAGTCCTCCGAAAAGCCCCGATATGCCCCAACACCGAACAGGTTTCCGAAAGGCCTCCCAAGAGACCATCGCAGGCATCCAAGAGGCCTCACCTACAACCCAGGCGCGGTGGCGGGATGGCCTAAGGACACAACGGACTGGGGAAAATCGAACTTGACAACCTGACAATTCCAACCGTTCATTTGAGTATGCAGTCGCCTTTGGATTCGACCGCAAGATCTAAGCGCCTGGTGTGGCCTTTGTGTAAATCATCGACATCCGAATTCGCATTCATGTGGTCCGCAACCCTTTGCAGCCTGCTGGCGTATTCTTCTCCAACCGAGGCTTGCTGGGCGTCGTCGACGCTCGTCGCAAGCGGATCCACGAGACCGCGGTCTCATACAAGAGGGCCTCCTGCATGCCCCGCCATCTCATGCAAGAGGACCTCCTGCATGGCCCGCGATCCCTTGCAGCGAATACAATGCGAGCGTCATGCGGTGCCGATCAAAAGGCCCTCGGAAGCCCGCGGAGGCCCTCGGAGGATCACCGTCCGTGACAAATAGTACGAGCTATTCGGAGGCCCGCGGGGACTTGCAACTATACTGTATGAACTAAGAAGGTGCTCAACCTCAAACCTCATCGCGGCATCGCGCGCGCGAGGTGCCCGAATTTTTGCGATCCGGCTCTCCCTGAGTCCCCGCCTCCGCGCGCGCTGTCTTACTCTCGTGCGTGCGCGAGCGGTTCAAACAGAAGCGGTTTAAACAGAAGCGGTTGAAATCACCCTGAGCACGCACAAAAGATTGGTTGGTTGCGGCTTGCTGTCAACCAGAATCCCCACTCGGCACAAAGATGGCGCGGCAATCGTGGGCCACGCTCTAGCGGATGTCGCATGCGACGGCTCTTTGGCGCCCGAGCAAAGTCTATAAGCACTGGGGAACTGAAAGAAATCAAACAATCAAGCGCGGATGTGCCTTGGTCTCTAGTGTATGTGTATGCATGAACATATGTAGGGCGCGTGCGAGTGTGTATTCATACCCGTCTATCACAGACAATTCGCCTTCCTCCCTCTCTCCCTCTATCCCTATCTTTATGATTACCCCTTTTCTGCATCCCCATGCAATTCCTCCCTCCTTTGTTGCGTCCGCTCCTTTCTTCTCGATCTGCTTCCCATCGCTTTCCATCATGACCACTTTCCGTACCTCTCTGCATCCTCTTTCCCTTTCAACATCTTTGCACCTGTTTGACTTCCCTCTGCAATCATACCAATTGCCTGAAGAGCTTATGGTCATGACCGCTATGCGGGGACAACACCCACCTTACTCAAAACACGAGGCCAATGCAACTGCTCCTGTAAGAATGCGATGCCAGCTCGAGGAAGGTTTTGACGGCCGAGGCAGAATTGGGCCAGCTCCAAGGTCGCCCTGACTGCGTCCTCGAGGTCATCGGGGCAAGGCATCAACCCATTCAGCACCTCAGGAGTACCACGTGCAGAATTCTGCGGAATCGGAAATGCAAAAAGGCGCAATCGTAATCAATGACCATGTGCGACGCATCACTCGACGGGACCTAACAACAGACAAGCAAAACGTGCCTGTCACGGATCTATGTGAGTAACGAAACAATAACGCTCAGAGAGGAATACAACCACTACAGGCATAGACATGCCGCTCATTCCAATTGTGATTGCTTTCGATGATGATCGCTTCTCCTTGTTCATGGCATTGGATGGCCGCGCAAGGCCATGAGAAATCAACCATACTTGAAAGGGAAGCGGCAACATCGAAATTCAATCAACATTGACTGACATTAGCCGTACCGGCCTCCGGACATGTGATTCGGTGACGGACTTACCATAGTAGTTGAAGTGTCACAGAGTTTAACCAGATACGGCAGAAGAATTCCCTCGATGACCGGAGCCCTGGCACCAATGCAAACGACGGGGACGACAGGCTGCCGAAGCAGCCCGACGCTCCCCGCAACGGCCGCTCCGCTTCGTCGCGAGCGTCATGGGGACACACCGGTCCCTTCTAATCGTCACCTTTTGAGCTAGTGGGGGAATAGGTCCTAGCAGGGGTGATTCCTGTGACAATGCCCTGCCTGCTCCTCCACCCCCTCGGGCGCCCATGGTGGATGGCCCAGCGTGACCAACAAAAGACGCTGGTACTCCATCTCGGTGGAAACGTTCGGTCAGGATCACTACCTGCCTCTTGCCATAACTTCGAGATCATGTGGAAGTGCGATGCGGCGCATGCGAGAACACGCAGAACCCCGCTGGAAATGATTGGACATGCTTCTCTCCACAACCACCCCTTCCACGATGCCCGCTGAGCCCCGCGCGTCCTCCTGGATCGCACCGCAGTGCACCTCGGCTGAAACCTGACAAAGCGGCGGCCAACACACCACCCTGGCCCTCCCTCCGCAAGGGCCCCTGGCCCACATCGGGCTTCGGGAACGAGTCAGGGACCAAGCCGCCGCCAGGGCGCCAGGGCGCCAGCCTGAAGATGGCATCTCTTTATTCATTCCTGGGCGCCCCTCGCCGTAAGGGCCCACCTCCTTGAAATGCCCATGGCAACGCAATCGATTCTCAATCCTTGGAACGTTGGCAAAAGAAGCGCACGCGACCCTACGATGACCCAGCCCCCCTCCTTGGGAACGGCGAGGGCACTGGCGTCGGAGTCATCTGGGGTGGCCCCTCGAGGAGCTCCTGCCAGACTTCCGAGCAAATTCTAGTAGCGTCTTCGTGCTCTGTGCAGTTGTCAGGGGGGCAGAAGTGCAGAGGGCCGCGCAAGAAGCGCGACCGCGGTGACGAGTGCACCCACGCCAGGACTCCAGAGCGCGAAATACTGAGTGTACTGCTGAATGCAAAGGACAGACAATTGACAACTGCGCCTTTGGTGCTCTTCTTCGCCCAACCTCGCCTCCCAAGCCTGATGGGGCTGCGCGGATGCGCATGGGGGAACATCCGAAGAAAAAGACTGGCTCCCCCGTTCTTCGTCGGAGGTCGCCGACGGCCTAATAGCTCGAGCCAGCGAGAGCGGCTCTCAGAACGAGCAAGCCCTCTCCATCCCCCTGGGTGCGTACAGAAGTCCTTTGACGCGCTAGAGGTATTCAAGGTGGTCCTCGGAGGTCGCCCGAGGCCACAAGAATCGATAGGAGGCCCAATAGCCGACACGTCGGAAACCACGTTGAAACTCTTTATCCTCGATCGCCCTCCCGACAAGCGACGTCTCACAGTGAGCAGCGGAATCCCCCCTCCTCCTCATCCTCTCCCTCGGTGCATTTGGAGGTCTCTGGAGGCCTTCTGGGGTCCGCAGACCTCCCCCAGAGATGACCAAAGGCCTCTGGAGGCAAAAGCCTCGAAATCTCCCATGCGCGTCCGATCCTCGATAATTCTGCTTATCCTTCTTCTCCTCCTCCTCCTCCTCCTCCTCATCCTCCTCCTTCTCGCTCCCTCTCCGGGGGCCAAACGGGCCGGAACCGCCCCCAAACCGTTCTAAACCTTCATCCTCGATCCTCGACCTGTGGTCCTCGGTCATCCTTCTTGCCAATTTGTTTTCGAGGGAGAAGGTGGGACCGGGAAACATGGCTCCACAGCTGGCTCCACAGCTGGCGCTAAAACGTGGATGCCGCCACGCGCCGAAGGCTAGGTTGACAGGCATCAGGATGAGGCCCGCGAGATACGGCACGAGCGAGAAAACGGTGTCATTTGAACGCCACTTTTTTCTTCACCAAGCGTGTGGGGCAGATCCCCGGCAGTGCTTACGAGACTGTGCAGGGACAGCGAACGTGAAGCTCGGGCCGACTGACGGCTGCTGAAAGTGAAGACACCCCTCGGAGTGCCATGCGCACTCGGGAAACAAAACTAAAATCGACACCTCGGCTATGTATAGCCAAGTTGCGAGCCAACGAGATGCCAGGCAAACCCGAACGCCACACAAGCCGCCTTACAATAGGCAGACTCGTGCAGAACACCATGGCCTGGGAGACAATAGAACGACACCAAGCTACCCGTGACAATTATTGCCCGGGTATCCTCATGCATGGGAAGTAGGAGGAAGACGAATAGGAAGGGGAGGAGGAAGAGGAGGAGCAATAAACAGGAAGAAGAAGCAGGAAGAAAGACGGAGAAGGAAACAAACCGTGCCCCACGCGGAAAAACTGCCGTGAATGACCACGAGCGGCGCCGAGGACTGACTGAAGCGCACTAGGAATTCAAATGCATGTAAAATGCAGCTCGGGCAGGGGGTCCTACAAAGGGCCTTGGCGGCGAGCGCGCTCGCCACCGGGCGCTTCTGCTGCCACGGCGTGCGAAAGTCACTGCGATGCTTCCAGCAGATTCGCGGCAGGTCCTGGTGAGACGGAGCCTGGCCCGCGTCTCCGTCGGCGGCGGGGCGGCATGAGCGACAGCGGACGCATGGCTCTCGACTGTCGACGTCCTCCCTGAGCCACTGCACCAAGAGGTTCTGGTCGATTCCGCGGCTGCGAAAAACCCGTGACCAGTGCGTCCCGAGGGCGGTGGCCATCTCCTCTGGAGCAGTTGCGTGACCCCCGCCTGGGAGCTGCACCGTAGCTTTCTCGCTCGCGCGTCGTCCTGGTGCCACCTTGTACAAGAGCCTGGCCGTGCTGCTGCTTGGCCTGTGCTGCTCGCGCCCCGTCCCCTGAGTTGGTCGCCTCAACTCGTTGAGCGCTTATCCTGGCCAAGGCACTGCGTGGTCCTGGATGGGACGCAACCGGCGCTCCCAGTGGCCATGCACCGCGTACGGACTGTCCACGAGGGTGGCAGGGAAAAGGTAGGCGTGCAAACGTATTGAGATCTGCCACAAGGCTCCCGCCTGCGCCGCGCAGAGACACTTCATGGTAAGGCCACGCCTGTCGTCGTACTCCACCGCAGCCTCACATCCGCACTCTGCGACCCCCAGCTGCTGCCCCATGTCGCTCATGGCCTGCTTGAGCAGCTGTAGGCAACGCAGGCTGGAAGCGTCGGACTTCTCTGCCGCCGCCGCGTGAAATGCGAGAGCCGTCCGGCGAGCAAGATCCTCATGCTGGACTACCGAAGCAGAGAGACCGCGCGCCGCACAATGCAACTGGGGGCCCTGCCAGAGAAGAGGACTGCACTGTGGCTAGAAAGTCCAGGCTTCCACTCCATTGCCACCGTCTTGACGTCACGATCTAACTGGTCAGACAATTGCATGTTGCATTCAGAACTGTCCTGCCACGACCGCGACGAAGGCATAGCGCACAACGACGGCGACGACACAAACAGAGGTGCCCGTAATCTGGACCGGGCGTTTCGCGTTACACTTCCTTTCAGCTTGCGACCCTAAGGCGAAGAACTCCAACAACTGCGAAGATGGACGACTGGCCGTTTTCAAAATGCGGCTATCGCTTTAGCGCGGCGCGTATTATTTTCAAAGTCTCTGATAGTTGCGAGAATGGATGGCTAATAATTTTCAACCTGCGGCCCTCGCCTTAGCACCGTGCGCATTCGAGCTAAACGCTTTGAGCAGCTATTCGCCAGCGTGCCCTCGAATCACGATTTGAAGTGTTCTCAAGTCGATATTTAAATAAGCCGGGACTCCAAATTCTCAAACCTTCTTGGGCTCCCCGTGTGCTCTCTGGGGCTTGTCGCGTCCTGTCGCGTGACATTTTCGGGCCCAAGAGGCCCCAAGACGGGCCCAGAGGGCCCCAAGCCGCCCATACGGTCACGGGAGGCCCCGAATCGCCGCACGATCGGCCCAAGATGCCCAAGATGGCCCCAATACGACCCAAGAAGTCCTCGAGGCGCCCCAGTACAGCCCCAAGAGCGCCGTCCCAGGGGGGCTCCGAGAAGCCAAAATCATATATTTTCGTTTGTTTTCCCCTGCGTTCTGGATCCTCGTCTTTTCGAGCTTCCGACGCTTCAAGACGGCAAGAGGCCTCCAAGGCCGCCCCAAGACGGCCCAAGAGGCCCTCAAGAGGGCCTCCAGACGGCCTAAGAGGGCACCAAGATGGCCCAGAGGTGCCCAAGACGGCCCAAGAGAGCCCCCCCAAGACCTCAGAAAGGGCCCAAGAGGGGGAACCCAAACCGAACATCCGAGTCTTCCGCCCAAAGGGCCCTCCCGGAGACCACCAGGAGGTCCCAAGAAGCACCCAAGAGAGGCCCCCCAAAAGCTCTCAAGACGCCACAAGAAGCCCCAAAACGGCCCCCAAGAGGCTTCAAAACCGCCCCCAAGAGGCCTCCCACGACATCCCGACGAACATCCTGGAGGCCTCTGACACACAAGCCAGGCACGGTGGCGGGATGGGCCTTAGACCGTTACATAAGGATGCAGGCGGGCTCGTTTTCAAAATGCGGCTCTCGCTGGAGATTCCCTCAACACGTATGATCCGAAGTATCTATGAGCCGAAGTTCCCAAGTGTGCAGCAGCTGCGCGGGCGGAAGGCGGCCCCTTGATCAACAAAACGTTCCCGCATGAGGACTGCGCGCAATCGTCTTTAACAACTCAACAATTGCTCACATAGAATGGTAGTTAAACAACCAGCTGTCGCCTTAGCCTTACCCACATTAGGTTTCAAAACTGCCAACATAAAAAAAAAATGAAGGCATATTACCGGTAAAAAGCTTGTGTAACATTTACACAGACATATTGCGGCTCAGTTGCAACTTGGTATCTCGTGAGAGACTTCCACCCATGGTACGACTGGAACTGTAAAGCTGTGCAGCACTAACACGGATCGAAGGCATATCGTTGTGACATCATGGCTGCCGCTGAACATACCCTGGAAGGTTATGATCATACATCGTACCTCTTTGCGTTTCTTGTAGATGGGAAGAGCGCGGGTGGATCTCTCACGGACAACAGATCTCACCAGAGTGGCAGGCGAACTGGGTGCTCTTCAGATAAGAGCTTCTACGGAGACCGTCTTGAGAGGGATGATGCATTACAAATCGCTGATGCATTCTGGGTTTGCTGTGGTCCTCCTCCTCTTTCTCCTGGACCGTAAATGGAACTCCGTCTGCGGGCATGATCCGTTTGAGGAGTGCGCCGGGATCGGTGGCGTAACGTAGGCGAGGAAGAGGGAAGAGGAAGGAGGAAAAGAGGAGGATGAGGTGGGCGGAGGAGGAATGCAGGGAGGAGTCCCGAGGCGCAGCGTAGAGAAACCGAGGACCCAACACCGCAAGATGGTGTATGCGACGAACGTTCCACTGCTTCATCCTCGATCCTCGATCTTCGACCCTTGATCATCCTCCCTCCCTCCCTCCCTTCTCCCTCCCTTCTCCCTCCCCTCCTTTCCCCAAGTCAGCGGCCTCGCCACCCAGATGGCGAACATCCAGCAGGCCCTCGCCGCGGTCATCACCAACGCAGCGCTGGCACAGCCAGCAGGACAGGGCCAGG